GCTGACTTTGAGATGTCCCCTTATTCCTGGCCCTCATTCCTTTGCTCGAGGCACAAATGTTCCTGGTCTCCAACCCTTGATAAGCCCATGAATGGGACCCATGACTTGTTTGTAAACCAACAGAATAAAGCTTGTCTCTTTCATACTTATGTACCCTAAGACTACAATGTCCACCTCACTAGCAGACTCCTCTTTGAAGGGAGTTGGTACACTAGGACCCATTCTAGAGATAGAAAATTAGAAGTTGCTTCCAATTGACAATGACTCTTACTTAGTCCAGCAACCTATGAGGGAGCAAATTCTTGTAACAGCCATAAGGACTGGAAGCAAATCCATGCTGAATCAAGCCTCCCGAAGAAACCAGGGCTGGCTCATACCTTTGTTACAGCGTGCAGAACAGCCTGAGCAGACACCCAGACAAACTGCATCCAGGCTCCTGAGCTACAGAAGTGGATGTGACAAGCGTGTGTTTCTTTAAGCCAGTAGTCTGAGAATACTTGTTACTTAGCAGCAGATGACTAATAAGGTAGAGCCAAGAGGAGACACTGGAGTGGAGGTCCAGAGTTGTGTGAACTATTTGACCCTCTGAACCACATCATATTGGAAAAGCAACTAATAGTCTTGAATATTGTACACTGATACGGATTTTTGTATACTGATACAAATTTAAGGGTTTTTTGTTTGTTTGTTTGGTTAGTTTAGTTTTTGTTTTTGTTTTTTTTTTTTTTTTTTTGGTTTTTTAAGACAGGGTTTCTCTGTAGCTTTGGAGCCTGTCCTGGAACTAGCTCTTGTAGACCAGGTTGGCTTCGAACTCACAGAGATCCACCTGCCTCTGACTGCTCTGGGCTTCATTCATCAGTCACTTCACCAACGCCCATAGATGCAACGCATAGATACTAACATGGCAGCAGCTTTTTTCTGTGCCTCTCAACAGACTATGGCTTAAATATAACTACTGTCTCACTTTACAGATAAGGAACTAAAATTAGAAGCTGCTGAGCCCAGAACCCCGGGCTTTAAAAGCCTAAATACAGGTGCAGCACTCAGCCTGTGGACCCTGAAAAGAGAGAATTTATCTAGTAAATCCATGCCTGGAGGCTAAGAGAACACCTTTTGAGAACACCTTTTGCAGCCTGGCTGGATTTGAAGGTCGCTGGAAAAGTATGATTTGAATTTAAAGTCTGCACACAGAGGGGTAAGAAAACATCAATTAGGATGATCAGTTGCAAGACTGTTCACATAGTTCAAGTCTAGCAACATTGTGCTCACGTTCTAAACCACAAAACACTTCCAAAATGTAATCTACACTGCTGATTGGCATTCTTCAACAAAATGTTGGGGAAAACAACAACAACAACACATGCCTATTTGAACTCTTCTTTGACAGGGTGGATTTAATCACTGTCACTATTTTCAGAAAACATTACCTTTTCCATGCTTAGTTCTGGCTTTTCACTGTGGGGTCTCAGCTGTATCCTATTCTATTATATGCAAACATCTAAGAAATGGAGACAAAATGGGGGCTTGGCCAATCATTAAAGCTGCGAGCTCTCAAAAGGCCCTTAACTATGAGGAGCACATAAGGAACGCCTGCCATTCACCCCAGCCTTGCACTCCCACCGGGTGGCCATAGCTTGGGGTCCACGCAAGCAAGTGCTGGAGCACCTGAAGTGCCACTGCACACACTATGTGCTAAACATGCCACGATGGGCATGCTCCAGACACCTGGTGGCAGTATATACAGTGGATTCGGAAAGACACCGGGGTATAATTTCTTAGGGCAAACCTTTAAAGTTACTGCAGTTACTCCACGTTCGCAATGTGGTGTTTAAAGAAGAGTGTTCTCCACTTGAACTACGACTCTCTCTGTGGCTTTCAGTCACTTCCAAAGCCTTATAAACACACATGAAATGTGCTGTCCTGAAAGCCACTTGACTGCTCAGAGAGAAGTTCAGTCACTTCTGTCTCTGTGACCACTCCCATTCTTATCAGAAAACACTCACAACAGTCATAAGCAGAATGGTGAGAGAAAAGGGTTTAGTCTTCAGAAGAATCATAGTGCTTTGCTACTTTTTGGCTGGAGGAAGGAAAGGGCAGCATTACACTTTCCACGCATGAGTTTTCACAGGGGGATAAAAAGGTTTTCTTTGTAACACCTTTAAAAAGAAACAGAACAGGAAGAGCCAGAGAAGGATGATAAATGACCCAATGCTAAATATGGCTAAAGGCCTCCGTGATCTGTGACCGCTGCTTGCCTGCTGTTCGGCTCTTGAACACAGGAGTCAGTTTGATAAACTCTTCCTCCGGTGCAGCTCAGGTAGTAATGGCTCGTTAGCTAGCAAAAACTGAGCAACCCATCACTCCATGGAAGGCCACTATCTCCCAGCTTATACTCTCTTTGTGCACTCAGAGACAGAGGACCTGCAGCACGCAGAAGGAAGCGGAGAGGCAGCCATGAGTCAGCCATCCTGTCAGACAAACCAGACAAGACCTGCTGTCTGGAACCTGGCTCTCCATTTTCACAACACAGCATCTATTGAAATGATTGTACCGCAACTCTTTAATGGGAAAATGCAACCAGCAACAGCAAACATCCATCAACTCCACGCCTGTTCTTGGTACACAATGGATGGGAGAGCGGTCATTTTTAATTCATGGTACCTTGTAGTATATGTAATGCAAAACTAGACTGTAAGTTTATAAAGTCATTTTCGGTTGCCTGCATGGTGCTGAATTATTTAAAACTCATTTAAAACACACACACACACTTCTGACGATTTTAAAATACTGTTTGACAACAGCATTTTCAGCAACTGCAAAAGTGAGTGCTGAGATTAGACTATGTGCACACTGTCTCTCATTAGCAAGTCCTGGGTATTTTTACTCCCGGTGCATCACGCCTCAACTCTGTCTTAAGGAAAACGGGCGAAAGGAAGCCTCTGTCCAGAGTTCAAGTTACTCAGTATCTATTTATACCTCCTGGTAAGTAAGAGTAACTGGTTTATCAAAGTCCACAAGTTCATTACCCTGGGCAACCCTCCCTGGAAAGGTACACAGCCATCAACTCCCAACCGGCACTGGGACTGTCTTCTGGGTAAGAACTCACTGAAGAAAACCCCAAGTGTAATTCTGAAGGAGACTGAGGGTCTGGTTGGAAAAAGCAATTGTAACACAGTAGGCACATACCAAGAGTCCTGAAAAATTACATTCTACCCGTTGAATCATGAAAACTCAGTGATGATTTTCTCTTCACAAAAAAATCTGGTTTGAAGACCATTTGCCTAAACATTTTAAAACAGGGTAAGACATCTTAAAGCAGCAAACTTCATTCTCCCACAAAAATAGAGCCCTATCTAAGATGACTCTGTCTCTTCCCTGTCCAGGGTGACATCTTGGTGTTCATACTATTTACTCAAGTTTTCTTTCTACTTTTCTTTTTTAAGACATATTAATTCAGCTTTTGTGTATGAATGCCTTCTTATCCATCGTGTACCAAGAGCAGGCGTGGAGTTGATGGATGTTTTCGTGATGGAGATCTGCCACAGACTTGTCGACTTGAATAATCTCTATGTTTCATTTTTGTTGTTGCTGTTTTCTGAGATAAGGTTTGACTGTGTATGTAGCCTTGGCTGACCTGGAACTCACTCTGTAGACCAGGCTCAACTTGAATGCAAAGACCGCCTCTGCCTCCTGGGATTAAAGGAGTGTAATCCCAACTGCTGGGATCACCTTTGTGTGAACGGTTTCTCTTTTTCTACAATATTTTTCTACAATACTGTGTAGCGCAGGGTGGCCTTAAACCAACAGATATCCATCTTCCTCTGTCTCCCGAGTCCTGGGATTAAAGGTGTGTGCCACTACTCCCTGGCCCCTGGCTGGTATAGTTGACTAGTATGGCTACTTTGTCCTCTGATCTTCAGGCAAGCTTTATTTAATAAAACACAAATAACAGCCCAGAGGAGGTGGTTTATGTTGCCATGGGCTTTTGTTGTTCCCATTCTAAGGCTTTATCCCAATGCCCCAGACAGTGTCTACCACTAGGAGGGGCTGAATGGATCCTTAGAGAATAAATGAAAACTTTTTTGTTTTGTTTTAAAGATTTATTTTTATTTTATGTGTATGAATGTTTCACCCACAAGTCTGTGCACTGTTGTATGAAGGACCTATGGAGGCCAGAAGAGGCTGTCAGATCCTCTGGAACTGGAGTTACAGACAGTTGTGGGCTGTCATGTGGGTGCTGGGAATTGAACCCAGGTCATCTGGAAGAGCAACCAGTGCTCTGAACCACTGAGTCAACTCTCTAGCCTTCAAATAAAGATGTTTGTTACAAGTTAATTAAGATGTTTGTTACAAGTTAGCGTGCCTCCCAACAAACAATTGGCCAACTCTGTTCCTAAGCAGCGCAATCTGGGGAGCTGAGAGAGATGGCTCAACATGCAAAGGGCTTGCAAGACTCCAGTTTTATACCTGGGAATCCCCGCCCCCCTTGGTAGAAGTAGAGAACTGTTTTCCAAATGGTACCCTCTACCTCCACAAGCCCAAATAAATAAATGTAACGAAAGTGGGGTGGTTTTATTTTTGTGTGTTTTTTGTTGTGTGTGTGTTTGTTAGCCAGTGCCTCTCTACACACCCCTCCACGTCCTGGAACTCACTAAGTAAACCAGGATGGCCTTGAACTCACAAAGATCTGCCTGGCTCTGCTTTCTCAGTGTTGGGAGTAAAGGCGTGCGCCACCACGTCACACATTGTTTTCTCTTTGAGCACTTTGGGAGTGAGCCAAAGTGGCTCACATCTGTAATGCCAGCATTCTAAAACGACAAGAAAACAAAGTACCAGGCCAACCTGAGTATCAAACTCAAAATAAACTGGAGCAATTTAGAGGTGACCATAACCATAGCCACCTCTATACAGCCTCACAGACAAAAAAAAAAAAAAAAAAAAAAAAAGGAGAGCCTCTTCTCCCAGGATTGAGATTTTTCTCTCCAGACCTCAGTCTTCTCTGCACTCCAGAGAGGGATGTGGCACAGGACCCACCCAGAGCTGCAGCTGACATCCTGAACCTGCTCTAGTACCCAGAGTGGGAACTCTCCTGACTCACCTTGCCCCAGGTGACATTTCCTCTTTCTTTTTCTCTTTCACTTTCTCACCTGCTCTGGCCCCGCCCTGCTCCAGGTTTCCCCAGTCTGGGCTGCTCCGGTGGCTGGTGTCAATCTCCAGCCTTGTTTTCGCTTTTCCTACATCAGCCAGGGCTGCCCAAGAGGCCAGGTTAAAAGCATGGAGCAGGGATGGCAAGGCACTGGAGACGAAGCGTCTCAGCCAGGACACAGCAACAGGCTGAGAGCCACACAGGAACGCCGAGCAAGACCGAGGAACCCGGGGACAGCCTCGAGTGCACACGCGAATCCCCATCTCCTAACAGACCCCAGAGAGCAGCATGAAGCCAGCTGGGGGCCGCCTGCTCCTGCTGCTGCTGCTGGCCGCGGTGCTGACAGGAACCCGCGCTCATCCTGCGCCTGGTGACACCAGGCTCCCATCAGATGCAAAGGAATGCCACCTAGCCCGGTTCAAGTCTCTGCCTCCGCAAGAGCTGCAGGCCTTCAGGAAGGCCAGGGATGCCATAGAAGAGTGGCTGCTCAAGAAAGATGTCAACTGCAGATCGCGTCTCTTCCCCAAGGCCTGGAACCTACAGCGGCTGCAGGTCCAGGAACGCCCCAAGGCCCTGCAGGCTAAGCTGGCCCTGACACTGGAGGTCCTGGAGAACATGACTGACTCAGCTCTGGGCTCCATCCTGCACCAGCCTCTTCGCACACTGCGCTACATCCAGTCCCAGCTGCAGGCCTGTACACAGTCTCAGCCCACAGCAGAGCCAGGGTCCCCGAGTCGCCGCCTCTCCCAATGGCTGCACAGGTTCCAGGAGAAGGAGACCACTGGCTGCCTGGAGGCCTCTGTCACTTCCAACCTCTTCCGCCTGCTCATGGGGGACCTGGAGTGTGTGGCCAGGGGAGATCAGTGTGCCTGACCTCAGACCCTCCTGGCAGCTGCTGGAATTCTGCACTGTGTGGACTCGTTAAGCCCCCGCCTTAATTTATAGCCCTTCATGACTTTTTAAAAAGTATTTATTTATGTGTGACCCCACAAAATGTCTATTTTTCTACTTTTGTAAACAATCTGCAAATACAAGTTGAGAAAAGAAAAAAAAACACAAATAATAAACCACTATATTTCCCTGCATTCTGACCAGCTGTGGCTTTCTGTATTGATCTCTGCTGCAAAGACAAGCTCCTGGATATGAGTGATGAGAACTATCCTTACCTGTGGGCATAGCATTAGAAAGCAGCTAGCGGATTATGGCGGTCTGGTGACGTGGTGGAAGTACGTCCTCCCTCTACGATCCATGGCCTCACTAGATCCTGGTAGTGGGCTAGGTTTAAGTACCAGGCATGATTTTGCTCCTATTGAGCAATCAAGTCTAATTATACAATTTTAATTATTGCCAAGATACAAGTTGGCAGCTGCACCTTTATAGATATCAAGCTATGCTGGCCACTGGGGTTCACAGTTGTCACCGCTGGGCAGGACTACCGGTGGCTTTCCTCCCTTGGCAGCTTGCACAGCACTTCCTGATACTATGAAATCTAGATCTCAGGGAGGAGGCTTCTAGGGCAGATCTAGCCCAAAAGCATCCAACTCCTGTGCCTAAAATGTGTGGTGTCTTTAGCAATAGGGACTACCCTTCAACGAAGGGCAACAGCAACAACTTATATTGACTTGGGAGTCTCCAGGCCAACCCTGACCAAGACCTGAAAGGAGATTTCCCCCTTTTTACCCAATACCAAGTCAATCTTGAAATCATATACATACCAGCAACACTAATGGACTCAGGAGGTTGCATTTATTCATTTAATACATGTGCATAGGCACATAGAACAGTAACAAAGAAAAAAGGCCAAGGTTCTTAGAGGGAGTGAGGGGACAGATCTGGAGGGAACTGGAGGGTACAGACATTGAGAAAGGTTGGAGGGAGGACAGGGAAGGAGGAAATTCATGTAATTATATTTTAACTAAAATGTGAAAAAAAATTAAAATGTCTTTTTCATAATCAGCCCCATTTCCTTCTTATGTCATATATGAGATAAGAGAATATATATATATGTGTGTGTGTGTGTATGTATGTATATATATGTGTGTGTGTATGTGTGTATGTGTGTATGTATGTATGTGTGTATATATATGTGTGTATGTACATATATATACATACATACACACACATATCTATTCCCTGTTTGAGCTTCTTAAAGGTTTGGTTAGTTACATTTAAACTTTCTTCCTTTATAATAAACTGTGCTTTATTATGTGTGTGTCATGACCACAGGCTTAAATACTGGTTCTCAGCAGAGATTTGTAACGTCTTTTCCTTTCTCTTTTTCTGGAGACCTAAATGCCCATGTGACACAGTGCTCCTATTAGTCTGTGAGTTTCTATCAAGGATGACCAAGTCACTGTGGTCACAGTGTGAGTGGAGTGCACAACCGACAATATCCTGCATCTCACCCCGAGTGAGGCTGCCTCTGAAGCTGCACCGTATGGTTTCTCAGCTGTGGGGGAGGGCACCTGTTTCCTGGCCCAGAGCAAGCATGCCTCTCTGCTCACCTACTGAAATATCAACTCCTCTAGCTGCTCAGCCTGCCATTCCTCAGCAGAATACCAGAAAGTGCCTTTAGCATTTTACCGAGTTTTGGATCTCAGAAGTTTCCCTTGAGCCCACCCATGATTTCTAGTCCTGAGTGGCAAATCTGATTGTTTGTACCTGGTTTGGATTTTCATTCGGCTAGTGGCTAGTCTACCCCGGTCACTGATTTTATTCAACAAGATTCATTGGGAAACTATAATGTACCAGCCAGTGTCTGAGAAGAAGTGGAGGACAAGACACGTAACAGGTTAAGGTTTGTGAAAAGATGCTACTGTTTAGTTCTGTTTCAATGGCTCGGCTTTCCCACCACAAATAACATTTTCTCATGTGTGGTGGTTCGAATGTAACTGGCCTCCTTAACCTCAAAGGGAGGGGCACAGTTAGGAGGTATGACGGAAGTGTTTCGCTATGGGGGTGGGCTCTGAGGTCTCCTATGCTCAAGCTATGCCTCGCTCAGCTCACTTCCTGTTTCCTGCAGACCAGGATGTAGAATTCTCATCTCCATCTGCCACACCATGTCTGCCTTCCTGCTGTCATGTTCCACCATGATGATAATGGAATGAATCTCTGGACTGTAATCAAGTCACCCAATGAAATGTTTTTTCTTTAAAAGAGTTGCTCTGGTCATTGTGTCTCTTCACAGCAACAGACACCTAACTAAGACACTATTGAAAAGGAATTTGGGAGGAAAAAAAATTTAAGAAAAAATATAAAACATACTAATACTTCATCGAAGCTACTCGCTATTATTATTTTGATATGTTTCTCTTCAGCTGTTTATGCAAGCTAGTTTTCACCTTGAAAAAAAAAAAAACCCAAAGGTGATAGCTTAGCAATAGAGCACTTGGTTAGCATGTGTAAGGCCCAGGGTTCCATCACAGGATGCAAAATATACAAAAATAATGTTGAAGGCATATTATATACAGTGCCTTGTACTCTGCTTCCCACCTTATTTTGCCATGAGTGTTTTTCAAATTCATTAAACTAATCTCTAACAATATCATTTTAATGGCTGTATAATGTTCTACTCTGTAATGATTATTGATTTACTTACCAGCAACTGGACATTTAAGTGGTTTCCCAAAGTCCATGTCAATGCACAGAATGGTATCAATACTTATTTGTTATGTTTATGGTTGTTTGTAGTTTGTAAAGATCCCCAGAAATCAAGGGACACAACCCTTTTTCCTACTCTGTACACTCGCCATCTATGCGCTCTGCAGAATGTCCACCCCAGCATGCCATCTACCAATTCATATCACCGCCTGGGTCACCAGACCCTCAATAATACCAATGGCTTCTTTAAACAGCTTATTAAGTTATGGAGGAAGCAAGCTGGTTGTTGTAACTTCTCATTACTTAAATCAGTCTTTACGCCATGCATTTAGTATGCACTAAGTTACCTCTGTGAACAATGGCCTTTGCCAAACTGCCTGTTGAGATTTCTCTTGAAGCTCACGTTGCTCATTATAAAGGAGTCATTTCCTCTCGTTTATTTCTAGCATTAGGACCATTAGTTCTAGCCTCTTACTGGCTAACTCTCACATCATGATTCAACCCATTTCTAACAATCTGTATGTCACCACAAGGCCATGGTTTACCAGGAAGATTCGAACCTACGTCCGTCTCGGGTTGGAGAATCATGGCCTCTGCCTGACTCTGCTCTTCTTCCCAGCATCCTGTTCTGTCTACTCCGCCTACCTAATTTTCTGCCCTATCAAAAGGCCAAGACAGTTTTCTTTATTCATCCAATGAAAGCAACACATAGAAAGAAGACCCTCCTATACCACTATTCTTTTACTTTTGGTTTATAATGAATTTGGACCTAAAAAAAAAAAAACTGTTCCTTTTATCAACATGTAAAACTATGTTCACTACTTTTAAGCTTAGAAATATAAATCTCAGCCAGGCACCATGAGATGCTGACCTCGGGCATGACCTCCATCTCAGAACTGAAAAGGATGATTTTCTTCATGTATTCTTAGGCATTTTCAGATCATTCTTACCAGAGAATCTAAAAATTACAAGTCCATGAGATGAAGCTCTGGCTTTGTACAAATAGCAAAACAACAATAACAACAACAAAACCCAAACAAAAAGCCAATCCTTAGTTAAACAATACAGGCACTCGTCTCGTGAAGCCTAATGTTATCCTCATTGTGTTCATGGCCTGTTTTATACAAAAAGATGCATATCTTAGAAGCAAGGAATTGCTATAATATAAATTATAGCAGTGACATATTCTGTTAGACATACAACATGTTATTTATTTGACCTGTGTACTATAAATGACTGTAATATTGAAATGATCTCCTTCTGAATTCAGAAGGGAACAATGTCCATTTAAAAAGAGATAAATTAGAATCAAATTATTTTCTCTCTCATATAAGCTAATGAGAATCTGACTTTAAATGGAAGGACCGTTTAAGTGGTCTGCAGCCTGTCCTCAGCTGTTATCACAGAATAATTGATGTACTAATGATTTCAATTCATAGCACCCACTGTCTTCATTTTGCATAATTTGAACCAAATCTGAATATAAATGACAAACAGTCCTCTTGCCTGTTTAGTACCCATGACCTTTAACTAGAAATCACTTACTACTGCAGAAGGGGAATTCAGCAGATAGAGGCAATACTCACTATTTTGAAACATTCCTCCTCATACAGAAATGGAAAGAATCAGGTAAAAGAATCAGCTATAGCAGGGCTAAGATTTATCATCTTATTATTTGAGAATGAATATTTAATTATAAAACACTTATCACCAACAGTGTCTGCTGGAAGAAATTCCAAAAGGGCCAAAGCTTATTCTAAGTAGGCCAAAGGGGGAGGGAGAATAAGTTTAATAGGTTTCATTATTTTTCCAATGAAAAAAAAATATTACTATGGAAAATTCAAGTCACTGTAATAACTACGTTGCAGTCAAATTCCCTGTGTAAATCACCCTGTTTTCTATGGCTGATGATGGGTTGACCACACTCCAGTGGATGGCCACACATGGGGAAATTAGCAGCACAAATTGGACTCAGTTGGGAAGAGGTGATGGGGGAGTCAGGAGGAATGCGAGGTGAATATGAACAAAAAGCATTGTATGCGTGTGAGATCCTCAAAGACTCAGTAAAACGTTAACTGAATCACCTATCGCCTGTGCATATTGCATCATGTGCAGGTATCGCCTGCTGAACCAGGAAACAAGACTTCTTTGCCAGTTTTCAAAAAAAGGTGATCTTTTAAAAATCATCTGCAACCATCATTACCTATGACATCAAACATGGACCGCCTAAGCCTCCCAACTGTCACCAAGCCACCAGCAGGCTCGTTAACAAG